AAAAGTAGCAAACCTGCAGCTCTCAAAACGTATACAAGGAACGCCACTGGAGGAATCCGTCCGTGCTGGCAGACGTGGTGCCTCTGGGACTGGTGAAACCGTATCCGTGTCTCAGCTCCACTCCTCATCTGGATACCTGTGTTGAGGGGCATACACCCGGGACTGGTGTCAGGTCGTGTAGATGTCTGTGATTTTCTGGGGAGGTTGGAGCAGGTGTCGCCTGCAAGTCTTTGCATCCGACATGTCCCGAGCCTCAGCGGGAGCCTCCAGCTGAGCTGTGCTGTGGATCGGAGCTGTGCCGGTACTGAGGGCTGTGTTGGATGCCTTCCTGTGGTCAGAAGAGTTCCTTTACGTCACAAAAATGGCCCTTGCTGACCAGTGCCCTGCAGTTTTGCAGGATAAACTGAATGTCTCTGCTGAGCTCCTGCACAGAGCGGGGCGATGCTCAGGAGCACTGCAGGAAGGGAGCCCTGTTCAACCTCTGATTCCTTACACACTGCAGGGATTTTGTCACATTTTGATGGCAGAACATGATCAGACCTTGTAGAGGGATGTGTCGGGCTGATACTGTGCTGGGAGAAGTGTTTTCAGGTAATCTGCAGGCCACCAGTGGGACAGTCAAGCAGTTGAGGACCCAGGGCTGGCCCCAGCATGGGGGTGGGAAATCTTGTAGTTGGAGAAGAACAAGAAAATCTGATGTGAAATTCTGGAAAACCACCACAATCGATGAATTGAGACCAGAACTCTGTTTTCAGACTTCCTCACGTTTTCCAGAACACTGTCACGGCAGAAGCTATGGGGAAGGTGTAGGGGATGGATGGGACCAGAGAGGCGTTTGATTTCATCCGTTGTGCAAGGGAATGCAAGGCCACAAAGATTTTTTTATGTTCATATAATCAAGGCAAGGTCACTTTGTTGTGGTTCTCAGCCAGTTTTTTAAAATGTTCAGACAGACCCCAGTCTTATTTGCTAAATTGTTTGGAAAATCAGTTTAGTTTCTTAACAGATCCTAAGGGGTGGGGAGGGGAATGGGCAGGTTGTGATGATGATTTGGGGTGTTGTTGCAGTAATATTATATTGGGGAAATAGTGTTTAAAAAGAAAACCAGAAGGTGTTGTGTAATGTTGACCTTGTTTCCATTAATCTATACATCTTCACATCAGACTGTGTGTCCCTCTCTAGTACAGTAGTAGGAAAAAAACAAAGGGAAGAATGTCCTGACTTAAGAATAAGGCCCTTGTGTTAAATCAGGAATGATGTGTTCCCAAGAATGACTCTCTGGCATTGGCAAACTGCATCAGGTGTATTTGTCTTTTTTGAAGACATAGTTGCCTGTGAAATAGCCAGTGTTGGTGTTTGGTTCTCTTCGTGTTTTAGCTATGAATGGGGGCCAGTTGCACTTGCCAAATATTTCAGATTGCTGGCCCATTTCTGAAAACATCTCTTCTAGTACTTGATTTGCATTTGATTATTATTTTCTGTGCTGCATATTTGAATGTGCTTTTTAAAATCAGTTGGAAGTGCCTAACTTCTCTATTCCCCAGACTATATTTTGAATTAATAATGTAAAAAGGGCCTAGTAGAAACTTTGCCCTTTCATAACCCCGTTACACGTGCATTTTTAGAAGATTTGGATAATTTAAATACATTTATGATGTATTTGAATCTTTAATGGCGTTTGGTCAACAACAACCTGTAATTGTGCAAAAGTTACCTGTGTTTTCTGGTCATTTAGAGCTGTCATGTTAAGCTGTGCCTTCATCACAGGAAGGGTCTGATGGTCACCATGGGGACACCCTGTTCCTCCCATCCTCTGCAAAGCTCAGGGCAGAACTGAGACTTAAAAAATTCCCAGGTTCTGCAGTGACCTCATCACTGGAGATGCTCTTGATCTCTCCAGCTCTTTTACTTCCACCACCTTACTTTTGAAGCTTGTGGATTTTTCCTTCACGTTTTAAATTGGATACGGGCTGTTGGAAAGCCAACTGCAACACCCCTTTGGTACAGCAGAGTTTACCTGGAATTCATTAAAGTCATTCCATCAGTAAATGGTGGCCGTGGGGTTTGCAGGTTGTACAGCCTGTAATGCAGTTTTACTTTTAAATTGGCAAAAATTATCTCTTCCTCACTAAGCACAAATGTGAAAATATTCAGTGAATATCACTTACTCATAAGAAACTGGATTTCTCTAAAGTTGGTGCTATTCTTCAGAGCAGTCTGGGGTTAAAAAAGCAGAGCAGGTTTTAAAGAAATAAGCTTTCAGTGTATTATTTTCATTGGAAATGTTCAATTGCTACTTTGGAAATCTTAATGTATATTTTTCAGACGTCCTGAATTTGTGTCTTTGTCTTGTGGGGAACATGAGAGAAATGAATACAGACAAATTATTTCATAAAACATGGGAAATGGCAGTGGATTGACAGTTAAATCTGGAATAGTGAATACAGTCAATTTTCCCCTTTGTTCTGTCAGCAGTCACTTGTACTCTAAATGTCTATTTAATTTTTTAAGTAGATTAACGGGAAATGTTTGCATTATTTGATTATTGAATTTACTTTCCCAAATAATGTATCTTTTCCTCAAATATTTATGTGATCTTGAAAATGTTTTTCCAGAAGGAAAAAAAAAATGCTAAAAACGAATGGGGAACATATTTTGAGTTATTTGTGGTATATGTACATAATGCTTTGCCAGAAATCACTGTACACTTCCCTTTCAGTGGGGAAAAAAAAGCAGTTTGTCATCTGTAGTGCCTTCCAAAATTAAATTCAGCTAATCCCACCTTTTTCAGCAAATAAGCAGCAGATTGGTCTTAAAAATGAAATTCAAGTAAGCTCTTGATATGTGATATAAAAAATAAATAAGCTTAATATGTGAGCAACAGAGAGCATCTCGGTGATAGATGATAACACAGATTACCTCTGTTGTGTTTGTAATTAGGGTGGGCCAGGAAAGGAGAGGGAGAGAGAAACGTTAGGAAATGCTTTTGTTTAGTCCTGTGTGGTTGGTTTTGTTGGTTTTGTTTGTTTTTTTTTTTTTTATTTTGGCTTTTTTTTCCCCCCTGCTCTCCGTGTGCGTGTGTGGTTCGCAGTGTGCACGGATGAGGAATTGTATAGGAAATTTGCAGCTGCTCTAGTTATTCAGGAAGATTTGTATAAGCTGGCACAAGGGACAAAATTAGAGGGAAGTTGAGCGAGTGCCGTGCGCTTTATTAGCTTGGCAGCCATAATTTTGACCTTGCTGTGGGTTAAAGGACACAGACCTGAGAAGAAATCTGTTTATCATGTGGGGAATTCATGCCATCCCTGACAGTGTACAGTGAACAAGATGGATGATCTGCCAAATTGGTCCCTCGCATGGGTGAATCAGGGCAAATTTACTGTACAATTCCTTTGCTGCTCCCGATACAAAAATAACGTTTGCGGGGGTTTATTCGGTTGTGTGATGACCCAGGGTGAGCAGAGAAAAGAAATAGGATTTGCAGGATGCTGATTACCTTAAAGATTTATATGCACCTCGCTTTTCCTTTATGTCTGCCTCTTTTGCATCTCTCATAAAGCACTAAGGAAAAAAGTCAGGTGTTTTGGTTTGAGAGAGAGCAACTTCATGGGAGTGTGTCAGGGAGCCTCTTGAATGCAGCACATGAAAGCTTCCAGTACCCTGAACAAGAGTTACTCTGTGCACCTTGCCTCGTTTGAGCCTGACTTTCACTTCTGTAGTATTTCCCCTTGGTATTTGGGATGCATGTTTCCGTGTTGTGTGTTCTGTAATTATTTGACATTGATAAATATTGACAAGTGTTCTTGGAAACAAACAAGCAAACTGAAAAAATAGGGAATATTGCTCTCAGCCATTGCCATGGCAGGAATGGGACTGGATGCTGGGAGAGAACCCTCTCATAGTAGCACTGCAGGGCCCAGAAAACACAGTTTTGGAGGAGTCTGGCCTCATCCTTGTCCAACTGAGAGCTCTGCAAACTTCCTGCAGAGAGCTGGAGACAAACCCACTGATGGATGGGGCTGAGATCCATGAGATTAACCGTGTCAGGTCAGGAGATGGGAGACAGCAAGGAGGAGGAAGCAGCCCCACAAAAACGGGAAAGAACTGGATGGAGAAATCACACGTGTCCTTTATCTTTTGAGGGGAATTGTTCTTGTAAACCACGTTGTCTACGTGTTGTTGCTTTTAAAAATGTTCAGAGTGTACCCTTAGATGTCTGGATTCTCTGGATAAGCTCAGTCAGTACATTCTGTTAGAGATAAATGTATTGGGGGAAAACATTCTGTACAGAACCTATTGTTGTTGGCAAATTAACAGATTGGGAAAGCTTTCTTTTAAACCAAGTGTCACAATAACAGATTTGGGTGTCTCCTGATCCACTCACTATCTTTATGTTGGATTCTCAAACACATTACTTAATACAGCATAATTACAAACTGTATTTTAATCTTGTTATTTCTGGACAAAGAGAATTGCAAAAATGTGATGTGTGTGATAAGACACAAAATGAGATCAATAACACTCTCAAGATAGAGTTGTATCAGTTGTAGAAAATCCCTCATTGGCACCACAGAACAGTGGCTCAGTGAGTTTCCTGCAAGTCACAAAAGGAGGCTTAAACCAGTCTATAATGGCAGCTTTAAAAGCATCTTTATATAAAAATGTTGTGGCAAGCAAAACTGTGAGATTTCCTGACCAAGGAAATTGCTTGCAAACTTACAGACTATTGCACTGCGTTTTTTTCCTGATTTTTATTTGTATTTGTACATCTTGTCTTTATAAGAAATCAGAGATGACTCAAGATAAAATTAGAAAATAATTCTGTTTTTAAGAAGAGGGTTTTTAGTACCCGAGTCATAGCAAGTAGAATTTTGCATACTTAGGCATTTCTTTAAGTAGGTAGAATATAAATGAGAAGGAAAGTTAAATATCCTGCAATCAAAACATTGCAATCATGCTAAAGTTGGGCCTTTTTTTCCTCTTTTTTTTTCCAATTACAGAAAGTACTCCAAAGACTTCTGCCAGTTGCAGTCCTGCTCCTGAATCTCCCATGAGTTCCAGTGAATCGGTGAAAAGCCTGACTGAATTGGTACAGCAGCCCTGCCCCGCTATAGAGACGAGTAAGGACGGCAAATCCCAAGAATCCAGCGAGCCGCCTGCTTCCGAATCCCAGTCCAGCACCCCTTTGCCGCTGTCAGGCCACTCGGCACTGAGCATCCAGGAACTGGTGGCCATGTCCCCCGAGCTGGACACTTATGGCATCACAAAGAGGGTCAAGGAAGTGCTAACGGACAACAATCTTGGTAAATCGCTTTATTCTCGTTTCTTGACCGAAATAATGTGTAAGCGCTTTTGGGTTTGAGCTGTGGGTCAGGAGGTGTTCATGAGAATACCTGGGTTTTGCTCTGGCCTAAGCTTTAATGTGTTAAAAGGATATTTGATTTTTTTTTAAGCTGGTAGAAAAATCCTTTTCAGATTGTCACACTCTACTTAAAATGTCATCACACCCTGGCTCTTCCTAAGCTCTGCTCCTGGCTCACCAGCTCCTGCTCCCTGGCTCCTGCTCCCACCTCCCAAAATACAGTCCAGCAAGCTGTCAGGACAACCAGAACCCCAAAACCAGTGAGAGCTCGCTTTGAAAAAAGGCTGTTTTCCCCCATGCTTGCAGATTCAAGGCCCAACATTTTGGGCACAGGTGAAGTAGAGGAGCCCAGGGTGGTTGGAGAGGGAGGTGCATCACAGGTAAAAGCACAGCACTTGTAGAGCTGGGAGGGGAAATCCAAGCTCAGCTGAGGTTTAGATGAGCCTGCAGATCAGTGCACAGGGCCATTCAGTTACTTTGCTTAGAGATCTGCAAAGCTGAGGCTGCTTTTGCCTACAGATGAGTTTTTGGGTGTTGAATTCAGTCTCATGTTGACGTGACTGTGCACATGGAACAGTCAAAGGGAATAACCCGATCTGGGTGCGGGAAATCCACATTAACACTGCAACTGGGCCTCTAAATCACTGGTTCTTCTATGTCTTTAACACTTGCTTCCCTCACAGGGCTTTGGGAAACCTTTAGGGGGGTCCTTTGAGTCTCTGGCAGCAAGGCTGTCCCAGTGTTACCTGCTCCTGCATCTGGGGCTTAGCAAGGGATTCATCTCACCTGCTGTTAGGTGTTCTGAATAACATCTGGGACTCTCTAGAAGTACCAGAATTCTCTTCACTACAAATGGGACCAAAAAAATAAGTTTACATTTAGACTGACAGTGACCCTTGGGTGAGAAGAATTTTGTCCATGTCATCTGAATGTCATGACTGTAAAAGCTCCGTTTTCAGTGTGTGAGGAAGCCTTTTTTCATCTAGACACAGAATAAAATGTTATTACCTCAGATTATTTTTCTAAGGGGAAAAGTACCAGGATGGGGGATATTTCACATAATTTAACATAATTTGTTAAAAACAAAAAACAAACAAACCAGAAAATGGCCTTGATCATGGACATACCCTGCATGAGATTGTGTTCCACTGAGCCCAGCAGAATTCCTTGTCCACGCACATTGGCCTGGGCACACGGTAGTTGCTTGTTCAGTGGAGATAACATAGAGATAAAACCCTAAGTCATGGTAAGGGTTTGCAGGTCCAAGCCCCTGGTTTTTGGGCAAAATGCTGTTGAGTGCTGTACCTGCTCTGGTGTTCCAGAGAGGTTTGAAAAAGTATTTTTGTTTACGTTTGCTTTGATGCCATTTTTACTTAGTCTTTTTTATTTCCCATGATTTTTGTTTTCCTACAGTGTGGCTGACAAGCCTAAAAAGCAGCAGAAGAGCCAGGAAATGTGCCCCAAACTCTGCATTAGGTGTGGAACCAGTTTCAATGTCTCCTTTTGTGCCCTCAGTGTGCTAGTGCACCGGATTGACTGGCGCACAGGTTTCTCTGTCTTAGGCCACAGGGCCTTGTTCAACGCTCACCAGTTGGGGGAATGGCTTTAAATGGAAAGAGAGGTTTAGATGGGATATTGGGAAGAAATTCTTCCCTGTGAGGGTGGTGAGGCCCTGGCACAGGTTGCCCAGAGAAGTTGTGGCTGCCCCTGGATCCCTGGAAGTGTCCAAGGCCAGGTTGGATGGGGTTTGGAGCAATCTGAGCTAGTGGAAGGTGTCCCTGCCCATGGCAGGGGGGAACGAGATGGTCTTTAAGGTCCCTTTCAACCCTTATCACTGGATGATGATTTCAGCAGATGATGCTGGCACTGTTAACGCTGAGATGTTGCCTCAAATGTCAGAGTCTCTTCACTGATTCCCTGCTGGGTAACATGTAACTTAGAGAGGGAAGCAGATGCCCTGAGCTGTTGTAGGATTTCAGTGGTGGGTATTTTGTAGAAAGGGCCAGGACTGTCCATGAAACCAACACAGAAAGTGTTGTCCATAAGTGAAACAAGCATGAAGGATGAGGAGATGTTTTAGGAAACCTGTGCTTAAAAATATTCCTGCTATTAATAGTGCTCTGATGAAGATGGAGCGTGATACACCTGCTGCCTGCTGAGGATGATTTCTAACACCTTCCCCATTAGCTTGGGAGGCTTTCAGGTGTTTTATCCTGTCCTGCCATATCCTGGAATAAGATAAATGACACAAACATCTTTAGCTTTGTTCTTAACACCTAGAGAACATGATGTTACCTCCTTCCACCTTTGCATTTTTAATTTTTAGGGTGTAGTTTGAGGTCCATTTCCTTCAGCAGCACTGCTAGTACCCGATCTGGGCTGCTCATTCCCAACCCTTTTGCGAATCTGTGCCCGTATTCCTGTTCGTGTGGCCACACAATGACAGATTTTTCAAGTAGCTGTCTTATCTTGCTGGTAGCTGGCAGGTTTACAGGGAAATGGATGAGGCCTTACTGATGTTTTTAAATACAAACAGGGAGCAGGTTACCCCAGCAATATACGAGATAAAATTGGCCTTGAATTACCTCTTTTGTCTGATTTTCCTGATACTGAGGGTAATGGAAAATCACTTATTACTTAGAAACTTAAGTGAATTCTGCATGTAGGTTTCTATTCAGTCTGTAAGAACCATTTTCACTGTTAGTTTTAGAGCTTATTAGCAGTGTGTCATGTTAAGTCCTGTTCTTCTTTCCCCCTCTCTGCTTCTCATCTCAGCTGCTTCCTCCAACAGCTTTGCAGACCCACTTGCCCCACTCATCTGAATGGACATTGTGCATCTTCTGACTGGCCCTACATTCCCTCCTCTCCCCATACAGACAAACAAAAATCATCAAAAACAGTTTGAGGGATGTTTTTAAACAGAAGGAGGAGGAGATCCTGGAGTAAAGCACAGGGAATAGGTGTATAGGGCAGGTATTTTCCATGACCTGTTTCTGTCAGGATCAGGTGAGGCTGTGAAGGCAAGAGCTGATGGTGTGGGCATGTCCTGCAGAGCTGTAGGGTCCTTAGCCCCCACTCATGCCTGTTGTCCCTTAGGGATCTGTTGGTTGGCACTGGCTTAGAGTGCTGGGAAGGGAAGGGAAAGTGCTCTGTTGTGTGTTGGTGAGGGCACTCAAAAAGCTGCAGATCGGACACAAGATCCCAAGGCCCAAACTTGGGGTTACCTTGAAATTCCATAATGCCAGAACTTCTGTCTTAAATCACGTTTGGTGACTCAGATGACCCCAGGCTCTCTCTTGTAGCAGAAGCTGTTGGGATCAAGGCAGTTCAGCTCAGGGTGAACCCTGAAGTGAAGGGGTTTAGAAAACCAGCTCTGTGGTTGGGTTTGAGCTGCACAGGGATTTTCCCCAGGCCTTGATAAGATAGACCTTAACCATATAAAGTCAGTGTCCCCAGTGCACACACAGATGCTCTGCACTGAGAAGCATTGGCAGATTTCACCCTGATAAGTTGACAGCATTTTGAAAGAGAACTAAAACTAAGTATCCTGAACTAGAAGTACTGTAGAGGCTGTAAAAAAAACATGTGATGCTGTAAATTGTGGTTATCTCTGGTTGGTGAGACACAGTTAGAATCCCTCATAGAGTACAACAGAGAAAATACATACATGTGCCTGTGAGGACATTGCTGAAGGTGGGGGGGTTGCACTGGTCTTGGTTCATTAATTACTGGAAATGTTTGGACTGCCCTGTTGGAATGAAGCTGTGGCACTGCCCTCCTGCATAAGAGCTAAGGAGCCTTACAGCTCTCACTAGTTGCCTGCTTAGCTAGAAGTCCAGTTCACTTTTCAGCTCCCTAATTTTATTTTTTGCGCACCGTTTCCCTGTAAGGTCCCACTCCCCAAACGTGTGTCCCAGGCAGATCCTAAGGATTAAACCAAAACTCAATATTTACCCTTTTGGGAGCGGGGGGGAGGGAGCAGAGCTTTCACTCTCCTAAATGTTTCTTTTGGGTTTGCAGGGAGTTCTGAAGTAAGAATAATTGCCGAGCGCTCTCGTAGAACGTGTTCTTTTCAGCGAGCCCCTCGGCTGAGTGAATTCATGCGCTTCTCAATCTCGCATTAGGTCAGCGTTTGTTCGGGGAGACAATCCTGGGCCTGACACAAGGCTCTGTCTCAGACCTTCTGGCTCGCCCGAAGCCCTGGCACAAGCTGAGTCTGAAGGGACGGGAACCCTTTGTCCGCATGCAGCTGTGGCTGAACGATCCCAACAACGTGGAGAAGCTGATGGATATGAAACGAATGGAGAAAAAAGGTAACTCGGGGCACGGTGCTGACTCATGTTTTCCGTTCTCTCGAAGATCAGCGTGTCTTTTATAACTCTCCATAAATAGTAGAGAGGCAGCATTGATCCAGTATTACGAAGGTTATGCAAAAGGACTTTGTGGCAGCTTTTCCAGAGCCTTATTTGATGCTTGCTCAAGCAGATACATCTCAAAATAAAAGAAATTTAAAAATAAAATTTAAAAAAAACACAACAACAACAAAAAAGCCACTCAAAAAAAAAAAAAAAACAAACCAACCCCAAACCCTGAATATTCACCAGCTGCTGGGAAATCATTGCTGTATTCTCCTGTAGATTAATTAGTGAGGCCCTGGTGTAGCACTGCTAACTTGCCTTACCAAATAAGAAATGCAAGTTTGGGGTTGGCTTTGGGTTATTAGTTAATAGTGCTGCAGCTGGTCACAGATGTTGGGCTGCAGGAACTGTGCATTGATTCCTGGGAGAGCTTCTTGCCAGTCCTGCACTGATGGTCTCTAGGAAAAAAGAAAAATGCAGCCTTTATAAAAAGGTATTTGAAAATAATTATATTTGTAGCCTTTATAGGGAGGGGGGAAGGTGATAGTGTTAGTACATGCTCACATAAAACAAGGTCATGAGGATGGACCTATGAAAGATCTGAGCTGTTGTTGGGTATCTTAGTAGGGAGCATATCCTGCAAATTTATCCTATTTCTCTCTATTTTAAATTCCTTACTAAAAACCAGTGGTTGTTCAGAGCCCTGTTTTTAGTACGTTCGTGTGATTTTACAAGAGAGGCTCAGAGGCTGCCATTATCAGCAGTTAACTAATTAATGATATATACATCTCTCGAGCTATCCCTTAATGATATTAGCACAGACATCATTAATCGTGTACACTGAAAGCACTGCTGTTGACTGATGTTCTGAAAGCATTTACACATTTGATCAAGAACTTGGTGATTATATTTAAAATTACAGCGAGGGAGCTTCTGGGAAAATTACAGTCTTGGAGGCTTTTAAGAAGAAATTCAAATCCTCGTCTCACACTATTATATAAAGCAGTGCAGTATCTTGTGAGTGATCTTCCATGGGGAGTAAAAATCCACTTGGGTTTCCCACTTCCAACTGTAAACCAAAGGGGAACCATGAGGGGTTTTGCTGCATTAGAAACATGGCAGAAATAAAATTGTCAGCTAGCTGGATTTTTACAGCCTCGAAGAGAATATTGCCCATAATGCAGGAAAATAAAATCAAAATAATTTAAAAGTAGTGCTGACAATATCCTTTGGAAACTATTTTCTAAACTGGATCCTTATCAAACGGTGAGCGATACATATGCTCTGTAGATGGTACCTGAATAGAGATAAGGCCATAAATCATTGAGACTCTGCGCTGAGCTCCTGAGCTGTTCAAGTGCTGTCCTCAGAGCGGTCTAAAGTGAATTCCAACCCTGTATTTCCTGCAAAATCCTTTCATGCAGGTAAGGATCCTGTGATTTAACCTTTTAAATTGCTCTAGAGCCACATTAAGAATTTAACTTTCCCTTCAGCTAATGTCAGTTAAAGAACAATGCGCCTGAATCTGCTTCCAGTGAAACGTTATTATCAATTATTTCTCTGCCACGTTTTATTAAGGGAGTAAATTAATAATTATGATAAAGATGAGCTGCGTATATCTTTTTTTTTTTTTTTTCTGTTCCTCCAGGCTGAAGTTTGTGCTATAAATGTCCATTTTTAAAAGGCTCTGGAAATTTGCAATGTACATTAACCACCCTCTTTGGAGCAAGCCAGGGGTTCAGGCTCACCAGGCTGAGACACTCTGCACACCTTTCTTGCCTTGCAGGGAGTTCATTCCTCTCCTCACCTGCCATGGTGTGTGTGCTGCTGGCAGCTTCACACTCCTCACAGGACAGCCCTGAATCCTGCTGGCAGGAGAGTATTTGATTCCCCTCATTTCCTCGTTATTTTGGCTTGTAATAATCTTGTTCAATGCCACGTAAGATAAAAATTATATTAAAGGGGGCTCTGTTTTACCTCAGTGGGCAACTGCCACCTCTGCAGTGGTGTCTGTGGCATCTGTAGCTGGGCACGTGGGGAGTCTTCCCAGAGGGACATGGGGATGCTGGGGGGAAAAGGTGTAACTCAGGGGGTAGATCTGGCTTTGGCAAGTCAGTCTCAACCCCAGATCCAGACCTTTGCCCAAATTACATCTGGGTTTCTTTTTTTTTTTTTTTCATATGTCTCCTGAGAAGTGGAGACTGGTCACAGACAAAAATCGAACTTCTCCAAAAATAAAGTGTGTTTGCAACTTGGATTCCAGTTTGAGCCTTGCTGTCACTGCAAATGTGCTGAATGATCTCCTTATGCTGTCTACACACAGCACATATGTTTGAAATAAAAATTAAAATGGAAAAGCTTTTATAAATGTCATCTAAGTTTCCAGAGACCAGCATTAAACCCTGAAGCCTGGGTGCTAGTTCTGCCTTTGGTCCAATGGAAATGTGTTCTGATAATTGATTATTCCCCAGAAAACAATTGCTGCTGACAGAGCAGTGGGGACACCTTCCTCTTTATTTTTATGCTAATGAAATGTGAGCATTTATAGAATTTGTTCCATTCCCATGAGAGCAACCTAAATCAGCCATTGCTCCTTTGGTGATCCCGGTGTGAGGTTCCAGGAGCAGAGGTAGGGATGCCATTTTTCCCAAGCTATCACAGCTCCAGGCTCTCCTTTGCTGTTCAAGGGTGGAAGCTCTGCCCTGCCAGAAATTCCATCCTTTTGAGAGCAGTGAAAGCAAGAGATTCAGCACATCCTAATCCATGGGTGTCTCATGCTGACTCAATTGCCTGACCAAATTCCAGAAACTCCAGGTAGAGATACCCTGAGCACCTTTTTACATCTTCCATGCCAGGTTCTGTTTTGTCTCATGGCCTTCTTGAAGGTGCTGCCCATTGCTGAGGTGATGGGTGTTGTCCTCCAGCCCCTTGGTTCTGCTATCCAAGGAGACAAGGGAGCCTTGTCTGTAGTTTGCATGTCAGTGCAAGTTGGAAATAACATCTAGGAAGGAGTCTTGAGATTAAGAACCTTATAGAAATGTGAGATTCTCTTGCTGGAGTGATTAATTCCATGGTTGAAGGTTGTAACAGCTCCTTGAAGGCTGCAAAAATAAGGCCAGTGGGACACCTTGAAATAATGCAGAATCTTTGCTGTTCTGCATCTGGTTGGAACAACTTCAGTAGGTGGGTTTTTAAGGAAATTTATTTTAAAACAAAAACACTTTGGTTTTTTATGGTTATTCCGAACGTGTGCAGGACTGTATCACGTCAGAGTGATGGATCACGAGCATCTCACGTTCTGTTCCATGCCAGTGATCTTACACAGTAGGCAATCCACAGGTAATCTGTCATATTCAGGAAAAACAAAATGCAGGCCATGCAGATACCCCCAAAGGTTACAGAGTGTGCTCAGAATTCACTTCAGTGATAGTAAGACACAGTGTAAAAGGTCCCACTGGAGGTGCCACCGTGTAGAGGACACGATGCTGGAACCCAGTGGAGCCAGAAAACCCGGCCAGTCCTGGAGGGAGCTCTGCCAGAAGAAGTTGGCTGGCGTGAGCAGGGCTTTGAACATTGCAGTTTATTTGATTGCATTGAATTTTTATTTTTTTGTGCACCCTCAGCTTGAAAGCAGAGCTGTGGGGAGAGAGGAATTGATTTTTTGAAGAATTTGCTTGCTGACCTGTGTGACGTGCCCCATATTGGTCCCTGGCTCCGACCAGAGCTCCTGGCTCTTGGAGATTTAGCGCCTGCTAGATTGATGTCAGGCTGGTGTAATCTGGAACTTAATAGCCAAGGTTATCAAATTGCAGCTCTTGAATACCTAAACTCTTAAATATCTAGAAGGTATTTAACAGACCATTAAATATTTTATTGACAAGATTCATCTATATTTGCTGTTTTCAGCCCCCTCATTAGCAATGCTTGTGCATGATACTGCCAGGTGCAGTAAATCCCACCTCTCTGTGCCCGGTGTAAATCAATCAAGTCAGTGACAGCATTTGCTGGGACTCTTTCCTTGCGGAATTTGCCAGGATAATTCACTCCCCGTCGGGGAGGAAGGTCAGTGGCAGGATCACAGCCTCACCGAGCTCCATCAGTGCAGTGAGAGCTTTCTCGAAAGTACATGTGTTTTGGAAGGAGCTTTGTGTAGGGGAGGAGGGTGCTGGGGGCTGGTTTTCTTTCATAACCTGTCACTGCTGTAGTGAAGAGCTGTAGGAAAAGGCAGCACAGCCCATCACTGGCATCTCTGGGCTGCAGGCGCCATCGTGTGTCGGAGATGGTGTGGAAAGGCTGCCTTCCACTTCCATATTTTTCCTTCAGAGACCTTAATGTTAGAGACACCTTCATGCACATCTGAAATGTTTTTACCACCAAACTCATTTCAGCCAAAATGAAGTGGGACTGTCCTGATCAGGTGCTTACGTGGGAGTTGTGCTCTTGAAAGAGCAAATTTGAAATGAGTCCTGTGAACTGAACCCTGTTACTCGTGTCCCACGTTCGTTGAAAAAGCAGAAGACCATGGCAGGTTTCCTGTTGATTTACCCTCTTTTCTTCTCCTTCTGCCTCTTGCATCCTCCCCACATTTGCTTTCCTCTGGTCTCTGGTGATACCCCAAGCAGCCCATCCGTGCACCTGCAACCCGTCACCCCCGTGTTTGTCCCGCAGCTCGAGCGCTCATTGATTTTGCATTTGTATTCAGCCGGGGCTGATCCCGTGTGCTTCTCTTCCAGCCTACATGAAACGGCGGCACAGCTCTGTCAGCGACAGTCAGTCCTGCGAGTCCTCATCCGCTGGAATCGACTACAGCCAGGGGGCCAGCCCACAGCCCCAGCACCAGCTCAAGAAGCCCCGGGTGGTGCTGGCACCAGAGGAGAAAGAAGCTCTGAAACGAGCCTACCAGCAAAAGCCATACCCATCACCAAAAACCATTGAGGAACTCGCTACGCAGCTCAACTTGAAAACCAGCACCGTGATCAACTGGTTCCACAATTACAGGTACGGGATCTCCCGGGAGCCCTGCTCCTCGGGGATTTGTTGGGTTTGCTTTGGCAGGGGGCTGCTCTGCTTCAGCAGGCTGTGTCTGCTTCCTCCAGCGCCGGGGGGTTGTATAAGATGAGCAGTTTCGACAGCAGGGAGGTTCTGACTAACGTAGTGCTAATGCTCCAGACTAATTTTAAGTCATCCCTGAGGAGCAGCAATATTCACATATTGATGTAAGTGGTGCTTTTAAACAGAAAGTCTCGCTTTTGGGGTGGGCGTGGATGTAGAGATGTCCACTGATGAATATTTATAAACCCACTGCAGTAGGCAAGGCTGCTCTGTCTGACTCACATAGGCACACTCACACGTGTAGGGGGGTGTAGTGGGTGTTATCCCTGGGTCACGGGGTGGGGGGTACTTGGAAGTGTCTGGATGGCATCAGAATTGCCCTGCTTTCACTGTGTTGTTTTCCTGCATGAGAGCAAAAAAGAGGGGTTTTTTTTAGGTCTTGAGCCACTGAGAGCTTTGAAAATGGGCACAGTGTGTTTTGGGGAAGCTCTGTAGAGTCATGAAGGACAGACAGCTGATAACCCTTAAGTCAGATGTGGCCACAGAGAGGGACTTCTTACTGGGGCATATAGTGACAGGACAAGGGGGAATGGCTTTAAACTGCCAGAGGGCAGGGTTAGATGGGATATTGGGAAGAAATTCTTCCCTGTGAGGGTGGTGAGGCCCTGGCACAGGTTGTCCAGAGAAGCTGTGGCTGCCCCATCCCTGGAAGTGTTAAAGGCCAGGTTGGACAGGGCTTGGAGCAACCTGGGCTAGTGGAAGGTGTCCCTGCCCATGGCAGGGAGATAGAATGATGTGGTGTTTAATGTCCCTTCCAACCCAAACCATGATCTGTAATTCTATGATTTATTTCACTGTTGTGATTTAAACAGAGCTCCATTTAAATGAAATAAGATGCTGGTCTGTTCAGTTCCTTTCTTGCTCGAGAGGGAACCTTCTCCACCTTCAAACCACTGAAGTAGGTTTTGGCCTAGAGACAGCAATAAAAAGAAACAACACCGGAATAGCATATAAGAATTATAAGGATTTGAATAAACATAGTATCAGCTGTGCTTGGGATTGGGAATATTAATTAGTGCAGCAGACTTTTCTCCAAGATATTTGTGCTAATGAATATTGAACAGGTACAGTTAAGCTACCAGATTTAATACTATTCTACTCCTTCTCTCAGAGCCAGTAATATTCCTAATTAGTCCAGACTGCTAAACTTGTTTGTTTTTAGAATCTGCTAACATTTCAAGGGTATTTTTCACTTTGGCCCTTCTCAGCTTTTACCAGGGAAGTTGTTGAAGCAGAAGCAACAGAGTTTAATGAGATATCTCAGAAATATTATGCACAACAGTTAAATAATGTTTATAGTAAACTACACAAAATTTAAAAATTATAACCACGAAATAATCACATTTACACTGAATCTCCCTGCCCTGAACTCAGTGCAGGCACAGCCTCTTCTGCCGCTCAGAGTTCTCCAAACGCAGGCCCCTTCCAGTTCCCACTTCCAGGCAATTATGCACAAGTTGGAGGAATGCCTGTGAAAACGCGTTCCCTTCGGCCTGACAGCAAAATGTGCTGTTCTCACTTAGGCAGACGAGCACGGAGCACTGGTGGCACGTGTCACCCCCCTTATTACCACGGGCTGCCCTGCTCGGGAGCGCGTGACAGGCCCTGATTGATCAGCGTGCTCGGCCACAGCAAGGGGAGGTGCTGACAGCTGTATGCAAAATAAAAACACCTCTGAACAAGGTGCTGTGGGCTGCTGGGCAGCACAAACCCCGATGCTGAGTGACCTGGACCTGCTCCCACATGTGCTGCTGAGGCTCCGGGACTTTTAAGAGCTCCTTCAAAAGCTTGTTCGGAGCCCTGGGTGCTCCGAGCAGTTGGCACCCCTGAAAAATCAAAACACATCCCTGTTCTTTTCCTCTGTACAGTAACTTTCTTAGCTGTCATGCATGGAGTACTCTTAAATCATTTGTAGGATGCTGCAGTAGAGGTACAGGGTTTATGTTCTTCAAAGAGAACAGAGTCTGACCATTCTGCACCTCATGCATTGTAAGAAATGGGTGGTCTTCCCCCTCTTCATCTCCTCCAGGCCACACTTAAATTTGTTTATCTATTGTATACTCTCCTCAGCCATTTCTTTTCCAAACTGAAGAGTCTTCATGAAGAAGCAGTTCCACATCTCAAGCCATTTGCTAAATTCTTTAATATTAGTTTTTACTTACAGTAACTTCAGGTAAGGCGGGGCACAGATTTGGACAAGTTTGTCTTCCCATGTCTTGGGTATCCTGTTGCAGTGATGCTTTTCCTTTCAGATTCAGCCCAAATCTCACTTTTCCAAAGGTGGTTGCTCAACAGGATCTACCTTTATATCCACCAGATGGAAAGCCAGCATTAGTGTTTATTTATAGCAGAAAGAAACTTAAAAAAATCCTCAGCAGGCAAAGAAATAATTCACTTCAGAATATAAATGGGTGTAAGGAATTTTTATATGCCTGTGGACTTTCCAAGTCTATGGCTTTGCAGCCATACCAGTCACATAGCTCTCAAAATATTAAATAAATATATTTTACTTTGCATTGGTGAAGCACATACAGGACACATCGGAGTTTGAGGCTCTGATGTCTTAAAAATATCACAGAAGAGTAGGAGGTAGGAATTTCTGTCCCACTTCACCTGTGGAAGCTGGCACGTAAACTCAGTAAGGTCACAGAGATGATACTACAGGCCCATCAGGAATTAAACCAGACTTTCTGGAATTGTAGTCTAGCACTCTTGGATCCCAAATTCCGAGCACGTTTTTCAGTGAACTCTGTGTTGTGCTTGCTTTGATGCTGTGTGAAGGCTTGTCCAGGGAACTGCAGCAAACACCCCGGGAGATGGCTGACGTTTTGAGTTACACTGATAAATGCCAACAGGGTGTGTGGATGTCGAGGCCAACACCTTCCACCAAGAGGAATGCCCTCTGGAATTTTCTAGCTGCTATCACCAGTTCTTCTTTACCATAGGGATTTAATTACTATGTTAATCAGCAGCCAGACTAGATTCCGGAAGCAATATATTGGGTGTGAATTCCAGGGATTTCCCCAGACATGGAACTGATGTTGGGTCAGACGATGGGTAAGGATGTCAGCATTCAGTACCTGCTGGAGCAGAGGTGTTTTAAATGCCATGCAGACACAAAGCTCTTACAAGTTTCCTCTCGTGACTTACGGAATGTTACAGAAGCAGCGTGTTCTGGATCAATGTCCATGCAGGGAGATTATAGGCACAAAGAGAGCCTGATAATCGATGTTGCAGGATGCATGCAGTTAATGGTAATGGAAAATTAATGTTAGCACCTGTGGTCTTCTGTTAGGTGAGTAATATTCTCCCAGGGAAAATTACAGACCCCCTAAATCCTCCAAAAGTGTGGAGTCAGCAATGCTGCTGAAATACTTGGTTGCATTTCCAATAAGTCAATAATATCATTAGTTTCAAAAGCCATATTCAGATGGTGTTCTGCATTTGGCCTAATGTTTTCCCATTGTGTGCAGTCTTCCATAGCACATTTAAGGAAAAATGGAAAATCCATACAGCTGTCAGCGTTGGGACAGCATTTCACTACAAGCCCCGTAGCAGTTCCCCATGGCTGAAACCCAAAAGTGTTACCCTTCACTCTGAAAGATAAAATTTTGGTAAACCCTCCCTGTGCCTGTGGTCTCATCCCTGACCTCGGGTCACTGAGGCTCCCTCTTGGTTATAGGTTAGAACCTGAATGGTGTTCATCACCTCTCCTGCAGATGGAGCAGGACAGAGAAAGGGTTAGCCCAGACCCTAAGGCTTCTAGGAATTTTGAGCTCCTAAATAGAAAAGGATGAGGGAGGAAAGAACAAGTTAAATGAAAGAGGTGCTATATTTGGAGTATTCTTGCACCCCTCAGGTAATAGGAAGAGCAAGGTGGCACACTGGGCAACTTTATCCACATGTGAAGTGCATTCACTCCCATGAAATGCATTGCCTGGCTTGTCACTATTCATGTTCTGCAATTGATTTTTTAAATAAAAAATGAGGCAGAAGTCAGACTAGCTCACAGACTGGCAGCCTGTAAAAAGCCTGGGCTTCCCCACAGCACTTTCATCACAACTGACTTGGTTTCATCTTCATTTCTCTTTGCTGTCCAGGAGAACACCAAGGGGTTTATCCAGAAGGTTTCCTGATTTATGTTTTGTTTAGGCAGACTGGCTCGTTTCTAGTAAAGTTCTGAATTGGTTTGTATTTACAAGGCATTTTCTTCTGGATCTCCTAGAAAGTCGTTTGTTTTCCTTATGAAAAATATGAATACATTTCCCACCAGGGAGGTGGCGGAGTCACCATCCCTGGAAGCTTCCAAAAACCAATCAGTGTGGTTGATGATACGATTTAGCGGGCATGGTGGTACTTGGGTAAGGTTGGACTCAATGATCTTGGAAGTCTTCTCCAAGCCTTAATGATTCCGTGAATTCCACGAAAGGGCGTTTTGAGCCGTGTCTCTGGTGTAGGTGAGTGGCCCGGCAGACTCACATCCCCTCTCCCCTGTCCCGCAGGTCTCGCATCCGCCGGGAGCTGTTCATTGAGGAGATCCAAGCCGGGAGCCAGAGCCAGGCCGGGTCGAGCGACTCCCCTTCGGCCAGGAGCAGCAGGGCGGCTCACAGCTCCGAGGGGGACAGCTGCGACGGCGTGGACGCGGAAGGCCCTCCCGAGGGGAAGTCGAGTGGCCCGGAGGCGGATGAGTACAGCAATGCAACCGCAAAGTCTCAGGGAGGGCCCGCCGAGCCGGCTTTCGAGGCGGGGGAAGAGGCACTGCGAGGCGCCAGGTCTTCGGAGAAAGCGGAGCCGTTCCAGGCCGAGAGCCTGGAGGACACCGACGACGAGGGCCGGCTCAGAGCACCGCGCCAGAGCTCCCCGCCGGCACCGCAGCGCCCGGGAGAAGCTCTGGAGACACTGCCAAACTCTGCCACGGAAGGGGATGCCTCTACCTCAGCTGCCTCCACCTCAGTCCTTACGGGGGAGAGCTCCTACAAGTCAAAAGAAAGTTCGGAGAAAACCTCCAGTGTGCCAAGTACGAGCTCGACGCCGGCCACAGGCTCGCAGAAAGCCAACTCTCTCCAGAGCTTGTTCGGCTTCTCGGAGGCGGCGAGCTCCAGGAACACGCGAGACAGCTCCTTGAGGAAAAAGAAAGCGGCCAACTTGAACAACATCATCCACCGCCTGGAGAAGGCCGCGAGTCGGGAAGAGGCCGTCGAGTGGGAGTTTTGAGATTAAACTGGCCCAACTCGGGAGAGCTGGGAAGTCAAACTGGACCTCTACTGGTTTTATTGTGTTCGCACTTAACCGCCCTGCGGGCCACAGGGCAAAAACGCCATAGGCCAAGGTGCATATAGAAATCAAAAAGGAGCGTTAAGCCCAATTTATGTTTGTGTTTTCGAGGAAGAAAACTGAAAATGTGTAGTCGAGCTTTTTTGTACCCTGAAGTGTTTTTATTATTGCCCTAAGTGATTTCCACAGTTTCTGGAATAACTCATACAGCTTTGCCTTGTGCCCTCCTCTTTGGTGTGGGGCTTTAAAAAAATGAAAAACGGAAAAAAAAAAAAAAAAAAAAAAAACTTAAAAAAAAAAAAAAAAACTAAAAAAAAATCAAACCCACATATTATAAGGGGGCTTTTTATCTGCCATCTAATGGCTACAGAGCGATAATACACTATTATCTTCTTAAACCAGGAAAAAGGGGAGATTTTTCAAAAAAAAGAAAAAAAAAGAAAGTTTTTTGTAGCTGTTCAGTTGCCACTAAGAGATTGCACAGTCAACCGACTCTAAACACACTAGTTTGGATTCCTACATATTTTCAAGAAAAGAAAAGAATCTTGTTGTTTGAAACTTTGAATTAAAAAAAAAAAAAAACACATTTACTCCACATATTTTTTAACAAAACAAAAAAAAAAGTCACATCAGGAAAATATCTTAATTTGTGGTAGCTGACTTAGTGTTTTCTTGTAAGTGAAATAGAATATTGACACGTAGTGCACATTGTTTCATAGCTTTAACTGATTCTGGTCTTTTGCAGCCCAGAATTTGTTTAATACACTCCATTTTAGGCCAAATCAGGACAAAAAAAAAAAAATCTGAATCTAGGTATTTTATAATCTGCTTTTTAACCTCTAACCACAGAGCACGCTGATCAGACCTCATATCTAGGAGGTTTAGGAGACAACTTAGAAACAGCATGTACTTGATCATTTCACTTGGTTCGTAGTGTACAGGATTTCCTCTCAGCAAAGACAGATCGCTCCAAAAACGTTGGCCAGTAACATTTCAGCCGCTACTTCGGGGGCGTAGCCCGTATCCCGAATATTCAGCTTGCCTGGAATCGATGGAAAAGCAGTTCACGTGTCCGATTGCTGTCACACACCACTAAGAGGGACTGGAGCTGCCGCAGATCCGGCCCTTTTCCTGCTGTTGGTGGCCATTTACTGACTCTCTTCCCACCACAAGCACTGATTTTAAATACGTTTTAGTTGTGGGAAGCTTTTTTTATTTTTATTTTTTTTGCGTGGATAAAGAGTACATGGCAATGACCAGACGGGCTCTTACCAGGATGGAAGCAGCCCAAACTCCAAACCAAAACCTTCGTGCTCTCGAGTCCCAGTGGAGCCCGTTCTGCCCTGCAGAAATACAGCCTTTTTTTTTTATTATTATTTTTTTCCCCATTATTTTATGCACAGGTTAGGGCTGATCAAAGTACAGTTCAAATTCTAACTTGTCTCTAACTCCTCCTGTTGTCTATATGTATATGCGTGAGCATAGAGGTGCGTGGAAGGATGTGTGTGCGTGGGTGTGTGCGTGCAATTTTATACGTCTGTGTATTTTCTTACGTACTTGTGCACACATAGAGTGCATTACTGCCACCTTTTTTCAATAAGCTGTTTTATCAGTTATGGCTTCTACAAGTTTGCTAATTTAGACTCCTTTATTGCCATATCTTTAAAACTAACAATAGATGATTTCGGAATATATATATATATATAAATATATATATATATAATTTTTTTTTTTGCTTATTTATAGGTGCTGTATTTTATTATCTGATTGTTAGGAAGGGATGAAAGGGGGCAAATATTCTTTAGAGGGATAGACTGCCGGCAGTATTGGGTATAATTTACAAGATGTAGTTGTCATACTGTATATTATTGATTGAAGACTTTTTTGACCGTATTGTGTATCATTGAACTTTTGTCTTAGGTCAGCATCTTTTTGATGACACTTTAATGGTGCATTCATTACTTCTTAAGTTTAATTAATATTACTTTTCTGATTTTGGGGGAGGGAGGGATGGGGAGAGGAGTTCCAACTTTAAAGGTATGTTCCCAATATTACACCTCAGTGTGCTTGTATTAATTCATTAGTAGGACTTTTGACTGTAAGATGTGAAACCACATTTCTTGCATGATGTTTTAGAACTTATGTATTTCATTTACAGTCTCTTAACAAGCGACAGCAGCACTTAGCGCAAGTTTTCACAAATTAAGGATCAGTACACTAAAATCCATCCTTTTCCATGATTAAGGAAAGAAGGCTCTAGGAGGCTGAAAGGCAGGGATTTATTTCCGATTTTCACTGCTAGCTGTTTTCAGGATTCCTCCTTGGGTAACTGGGGACTTGTGATGCAAAACTAAAACTGAGGAGCGGAGAGAGCAGCTGCCCCTTCCTGTGATGAGCTGAGGAGACGATTGGTAGTGACAGACACCAGTGTGTGACAGCACGTGCTGGGAGCGGTCCCGCCTTCCCACCGGCAGGGCCGTCAGTCCCTGGGAACAGCCAGCGAGGGGAGAACGGGGTGAAGCAAAGGGTTACCTCTCTGTACCTGTCCAGTGTCCTGGTTTGACTTCCAAAGCACAGCTCCATCGAGAAATGCACGTTCCTGGTAAAATACACATACCTTGAGACAAGTCACAACGAGCTGCGTCTTCAGCCAAGAACCAAACCTTCTGGCTGGGAGACGCAGGCATTTTCTTATGTTCTTTGTTGTTTTTATTGTTTTTTTTTCTTTGTTGTTGTTTGGTTCAGGTTGGGTTTTTTTAATTAATTCTAGGCAATACACTTGCCAGTCTGTTCCTACTGTCCTTGTCTGCTGATGTGAGATCCGGGTGCTGGATGCAGTCAAGTGGTTACTCTCAGCTTTCTCCATAGCGAGGGGTTCTTTTTCTGTTTGATGATTTTTTTTTTTTTTTAAATTCCCCAAACTGTTCTTGTGCCTGTGTCTATCTGATTGCATTCCATGATGCTTACTGAGAGCTCTGGCTGCACTGTACGACAGCAGAAACTGTATTCACAGGTCGCACGCAAATGCAGCACTTAAGGTCAATCTCTCTTCTTAATAAGCAATACGTAAGTGCCTTGAAACATATCTTTTTTTTTTTTTTTTTCCTTTTTTTTCCCCTGTTTATTTTTGGTTTGCTTTTCAGGTTTCCACCAGTTCTTTAGGATTCTTTAGCATCTGCCCACTTTTTAATGCTGTAATGATTTTTAAAAAGCATATCCGTAGCTTGCCCTAGAGGAAATCTTTCTTTCATAACACTAACTGTTAATTCTAAGCTCCATTATTACATTTGAGTCATGTAATTTTGCTGGATAAAGACAGCATTCAGAAGTCAGAAGTCACTCCATCCTGCCAAGGGTTGTCATTGGGATCTATTATGAAATTAATCAAATAAAATGCTGTCAGTATTTCCTATATTTTTGGCACTTTATTAGTGGCTTAGCTCCTTTTGCTGTTTCATATGTAATGATCTGCGTTGAATGTGGATTAGCCTGCTGAGATGCTGCTGGGGTGACCTGACCCTTCCTGCCTGGAGTCCCTTTGGGTTCCTTGGTGACCCCCTCGTTTAAGGGCAGGGGCAGACGAGCACCCTCGGATCGAGCTCGTGGAGTTTAAGTGACGCTCCCGGTTTTTCCCGGCGTTTAGCCAAGGTCACAGCTGCTTTCCTGTTGGAAAGTAGAATGGATTAGCTTGAACTACTGCTGAGATTCTCGGGTTGGACATGAGTTACCAACTGGCTTTCCAAACTGGCCAGGCCCCTCCCACCCCCCAGTTTAGAGACTGAACTTCCACCACAGGGTGTGAGCCATAGTTGGGATCGAGTGCAGCACTTGGAACTCACACTCAGAGGAAAATGTGGATTGGAATGACTTCTTTTACTTTTTTAAAAGGGTAAAAAGTTGGAGGAGAAGAAATGCCAAAGAGTAGCACAGTGGCTGTCACCCCTTGGGTCTCTGATTCCAGGGGAAGGGAATGTGTGACGAGGGGCAGAGCCCTCGCTGCCGACGTTTCTTTTCCTGGTGGATAAAAGCACAGGCAGTTTTCAGAAAATCCATCATGCCAGACTCTGGTTTTTTTCCTGGGGTTCTTTAAAAGCATTTTATTTTCTCTCTCTGTTTCCAGTTCCATGCTCTTACTAATGCCGTGCAGGAAGGGCCAGGGCTGTTTTAACAGAAATACGTTCATATTGCAGTTAAATTGTCAGGTTTTCTCTCTGGATGGTGAGGGAAGGAAAAAAAGTGTAGTGCTTTGTTTGCTAAAAGCCAGCAAAGAGTATCCCTTGGCAGAGGGGTCATGTATCAGAATTGTCAATACACTGCCATTTCTGAGGATACAGAATGCAGAGAACAGGATTGCACATGTTTATTGGCAGAAATGCATTTAATTACAGTTTCTGTTGATGCCATAAAATTGGACCATTTTATTTGCTCATCTGTGAAATGCCTATAGAAAAAGCTGCCCTTTAAAGGGACCTGTGTCAGTGCGCTCTGCCCATATCATGAATTAGTGAGTCCTTTAGTAATATACTCCTTGCTGTAATAGGAAAGATCTATATTACAGCTGAACAGAAAAAAAAACATGTGCCTTTCTCATTAGCTAAAAGATCTTTGCATTATTTTTATGTAACCTGTTGATATGGGAATGGTGTAGAGCAGGGGGGTCATGAACACGACAATTTCTATGCAATACACTCTGATCCAATTACTTAAAACCTGCTATTTTTCAGTCCTTTATCAGGGGAAATAGTTAAGGAAGTGCATTGTTCTGGTGTTAATCCAAAATACAAAGCTGATAAATTGACATGAAATAGGATTGAGGGAAATGTGACAAAATAATGTGATGAAATCATGGAAGATGCTCACAGTGGTTGCAGTCTCCACTAGCACAGCTGCCGTCAGAAGTCTCTCATTTTTCATCCTAAAGTTATTAATTTCAGGTATTCTTAAAGCTTACGGGAATAAAAATGCTCCTGGCAAAAACAGGGCAGGTTAGAAATCCTAACCCAGTTAAATCCTGGAGGCTGGATTTAACATTTCCTGAAACCAAATCAAGGCTTTCCCATGAGTATGTGGCATTTTTGGCCTTGATGTGACCAGCTGGTTATAGCCTCCTATCCCTAAATTTAGTTCCCATGCATAAAACATCAGCAAAGCAGGATTGAGTTGACTCCTGTGTTGTCCTGCTGCTTTCCCCCGTCACTTCCTGCTGCCCCACTGTGTGAACATCAACCTTTTTTTTCCTTTGTGTTGCATATACAATCAACTCACTTTTTAAAAAATGGAGAATTTAAAAATTCTATACAAAGAAAATACTCTTCCCCCCCCACCAGCAGTTTAAAACCTGGTTTTAAATTGCAAGGAGAATCACTGGCATGGGAAGCACGAGATCTGAGTTTCTTTTCTGGCTCAGCTTGAAAAGGGTTGTAGCAGTCCCTGTCTCCTTCATTGAGCTCTAAAACATAGAAATATAATTTCAGCAATTTGTTCTTCCCTCCCCATCTCTTTTATGGGATATATTGACTATGCCATATATAAAACATAGTTAATAATGAACTTTATAGCAAGAAAAGCCCTTTATGCCATGCCCAGGGACTGATTTGTCCTACATGA